TTTTTATCTTTATATAAATTCATTGTTTTTCTTTTTCTTTTTTTTTTTTTTTTTTTTTTTTTTTTCTTAATACAAAAAACTCTGTTGATTTATTTATCCAATAATTGACTTCTTTGAACAGACAGAAGATCGAGGTACTTATCATTGCAAGGCAACAAATATATTTGGCACCATTATATCAGAAAGTGTTGAACTTTCTTTTGGATATATTTTGGAATTTAATTTAAAACGTTCTGAAGAAAGAGGAGATCAAAATTGGGGTAAAGCGATTTATTGCGATCCACCTCAACATTTCCCTGGCGTAAAATATAATTGGGCACGTGAATATTTTCCAAATTTTGTGGAAGAGGACAAACGAGTATTTGTATCATACGATGGTGCTCTTTACTTCTCTGCATTAGAAACAATTGATAGAGGCAATTATTCGTGTAATGTTCAAAGCGAAGCATCTAATACAGGACGTAATGGACCATTTTTCCCATTGAGAGTCGATCCACATTGTAATTATTATTTTCAATTGATTTACTCAGTTTGATAAGTCTCTTCTAAAAAAATTAATTTCTTTGATTTTATTTGTTCTTTTTTTTTTTTTTTTTTTTTTTTTTGTGTGTGTTTTTAGCATCATTTCAACAACTAAAATTTCCTAATAACTTTCCAAAGGCATTCCCAGAGGCACCTGTAGCTGGTGAAGAAGTTAGATTAGAATGTATAGCATTTGGATAGTATGTATATTTATTAAACCAATGATTTATTTGCTAATTTATTATATTAAAAGATAATTATATTTTAGTCCAATTCCTTCATATAATTGGACAAGAAGAGGTGCACCTTTACCAAGAGGTGTATACACAACAAGTTACAATCGTGTATTGATAATACCGTATGTACATGTGGAAGATCAAGGAGAATATGTTTGTAGAGCACATAACGATAGGCACTCTATTGAAAATTCTGTAAGATTGTCTATCCAAGCTGCTCCTAATTTTACTATACCATTAACGGACAAACATATGGATAATAGAGGAGTATTAACATGGACTTGTGAAGCTTTTGGTATTCCAGATGTAACATATAATTGGTTTAGAAATGGAGAATTATTAGATATGGAAACTCTTCCACCAGAAGATAGAGATCGTTATCTTATTCAAGATAATGTTTTAAAAATAACACGATTAGATCCAGAAACGGATCAAGCTATGTATCAATGTCGTGCTAAAAATCAATTGAAAACAAAATATTCATCAGCTCAATTAAGGGTTTTATGTAAATTATCTCATTCAATGATCTTATTTGCAATTGCTCTAGAATATTATTCATTGTAATATAACGTGTAATTTTGCAGCATTAAAACCATCTTTTAAAAAAAAACCTATGGAACCTGAGACTTATGCGGCAGAAGGAGGTAACGTTACTATTATTTGTAATCCTGAAGCTGCGCCTAAACCAACATTTGTATGGAAAAAGGATGGTAATGTAATTGGTGCTGGTGGTAGACGTAGAATTTTAGAAAAAGGAAGTCTAGTGATCAAACCAGTTTCACGAGATGATGAAGGAACTTACGTTTGTACGGCCACGAATGAATATGGAAGTGATGAAACTCGAGGAAGACTGATCGTATTACGTGAGATAAAATATATAAGATTATAAATTTAATCTTATTATTTAATAAAAGAAATATTAATTTTCCTATAAATATTATAGGTGGTCCACGTTTAGTAGAAGCATTACCACAGCGTATTATCATTGCTATAAATCAAAATCAAACGTTATATTGTTTAGCGGAAAATGATGAAATGTTAGACGTAGCATATATATGGACACACAATGGTATGCGTATCAGAGAAAAAGACACCCTTAACAATCCAAGGTTAAATATTAATGGGGGAACATTAAATATCATTAATTCAACTTTTGGCGAAGCTGGAGAATATGAATGCATAGTTAAAAGTGCAGTTAGTCGTATTTCAAGTAAAACTATAGTAATTGTGGAAGGTCCACCAGGTCCACCAGGAGGTGTACAAGTTGTCAATATAGTTAGAACATCTGCAACATTACGTTGGACCGATGGTGCTCTCAATGGTAGATCTATATTGATGTACACCGTTAGTGCAAGAACAAATTGGAATCAGACGTGGTTTAATATTGTAGAAAGTATGTGCAATTTTTCGATAAATTTATTATACATAATTAATAATTGAACTTTTTAGAATCTATATGTGTTTGTGTATTTTCTTTCACAGATATAACAGCTGTCGAAGTCGATAGATACAATGGCCGTAAAGAAGCATTCATCGAAAATGTATTAAATCCTTATACAACTTACGAATTTCGTATAGCAGCCTTCAATGAACTCGGTTATGGATTACCATCAATGCCATCTCCTCAATACAGTACACCATCGGATAAACCTACCAAACCACCTAGTAACATTGGTGGAGGAGGTGGAAAAATAGGTGATCTTACAATGACATGGACACCATTATCTTCATCCGATCAAAATGGTCCTGGGGTTCATTATAGAGTTTTTTGGCGTCGTAAAGGTCACGAAACTGAATTTCAATCTCTGTTATTACGTGAATATGGTAACGTTGGAATATGCGTTGTACAAATCCAACACGAATATTATTATACCGAGTACGAAGTTAAAGTTCAATCATTAAATGCAATTGGTTCTGGACCGGTATCCGATATATATACGATCTTTAGTGCTGAAGATATGCCACAAGTGGCACCACAGCAAGTCGTTGCTCATTGTTTCAACAGTACAAGTTTGAATGTCAGTTGGGCACCTATTGAACAAACTCGTGAAAAAGTTCGAGGGAAATTAATCGGTCATAGAATAAAGTACTGGAAGAAAAGTAATAAAGAAGAGGATGCCGTATATTACCTGTCTCGTACTACGAGACCGTGGTCACTTGTTGTGGGATTACAACCTGATACTTATTATTACGTTAAAGTTATGGCCTATAATTCTGCTGGAGAAGGGCCTGAGAGTGAACGCTACTTAGAAAGAACTTATCGTAAAGCTCCACAGAAACCACCGTCTTCTGTACACGTGTATGGCGTGAATCCATCAACAGTTAGAGTTGTGTGGCGTTACGTTCAACCAAGCTTAGAGGAAGAACCATTAATTGGATATAAAATACGTGTATGGGAGGTAGATCAAGACATGAGTACTGCAAACGATACCATTATCCCTGGTGGTTCTAAACTGGAAGCCGATATCACAAATTTGAGCCCTGGAAAAGTTTATCATTTGAGAGTACTTGCATTTAGTAATGGAGGTGATGGACATATGTCCAGTCCTGCGCATACATTCCAAATGGGTGATGCCGCTGCTTTTAGAAGCAGCGCGGGAAATAAAATCGTAAATGCTAGTTTAGGTATATGCTTATTATTACTTTTAAGAAACTTCAATTACGTTTAAATGTAATTGAATTCGTCATTTCTTTTATAAGCATATTTCAATTTAGATTTATCAAAAGTCATAAGATTGAACTACGACTATATAAAGTTTATCAGAAAGATCTGAAAAAGTATTCGTATAAAAATGCTAATTTTTTTTCTTAATTTAGCTTATAAAAATATTTAAGAGAAAACGAAGCATGAGCCTATATAGTGTTTATTAAAAAGATCTGAAAGAAAAAAAAAACAAAAAAAAAAAGAAAAGAAAAAAGAAAAAAGTATTTATCAAAACGCAGATTTAAATTTAGTTTAGAAAAAGATGCAAGATGAGATACGATAGTGGAATTAATCAGAAAAGATTTTAAAAAGGTATTTATCACAAAATGGAAAGTACATTTTTATATTGATATTAATCGAATGTTAGAGATAAAAAAGATATATAGAAAACATTACAGATCTTTACACATAAAGATTGACAATAGATCATTATCTCTCTTATCTTTAATCTATTCTATATTTGCTATATATTTTAACTATGTATTAGAAAAAAGAAACTCATATTTATAAAAGATTCTTAAGGTGCCTTTAGATACTTCTTACTGCCTTATTACTGAGATCACATGTAACTATGGAAAACTTTGTAATGCTTTTTATATATCTTATCTCATTGTTATTAATAAGATTTTATATGTCTAACTTTAATTAACCGAAGTGTTCTTATATCTCTAGAGAGCAATAGTACATATACTTTTGTAAATAGTAGATTATTAACAAGATTATAACAATTAAGTTAGCAGTAGTTGTCATTTTTTGTGACTGTACTGTTACATTTATATATATATATATATATACATATATATATATATAAAAAAAGCAAGATAGAAATATATATATATATATAATTTATCAAATATTATATACAAAATTTTATATATTATTTTTTAATTAGCAACTTTGTGCTAAAAGTAAAATAATTTTTAATGAAAATAAAAAAAAAAAAGATAAATAGTAATATGTATTTTATATAAATTCGAATTTGTATTCAATGATCAAAACAATCTAATTTAATATAATTTATAAATTTATTATATATATATATGTATATATATATATATATATATATTATAAAACATTAACAATGCACCCAAGCCTCATATTTTCTATAAAAATCATGTATAATTTTTCTTATTTAATATTATTTTGTAACACTATATAAAAAAGAAAAAAGGCAGCAAATTTAATTTCCGTCCATATGAATGCAAGTAACGAGATGTGGGAATAATTTTTATTAGATTATGATTATGTTATTTTAAAAAATATATTATTTGTCGCATATCGTTACTTGAATATACATAGAATTAAAAGATTTATGTTCTATATCCTAAGAATTTCTTACAAATATATATTCAATATTTTTTAATAATGCATTCTTTTTTTATTTTTCTATTTCTTTTTTTCTTTTTTTTTTTAGCAATATTTAGTGCTTCGTATATTAAAGAATACCAAACTTACAGAACACTTATCTTTCATATATAAAATTCTGAAATCATTATCTATCAATATTTTTAGATAATAGGATAGGTTGATGAACTTGTATAATCAATTGATAATACAAAAGATTATCTAATAATTTACTCAGAATATAAAAGTACTTAAACGAACTTATATATAAAAGGAACTAAGACAAAGGGATTAGTTAGTAATCTATCTCTGATAACTTACATCTGTAAATGAAGGTAAGATACAGAATTTATTCAATATAAATTTAACATATAATATGAAGAGAAATATTTTTCACAATTTTGCTAAAAATCTTTGTTTTTATTTTTATTTCTTTGGAGGATGAAAATATTGCAAGATATAAAAAAAAAATAATAATAATAAAATACGCCTGATAGATTAATCAAAATTGTTTTAATCGAGATAAACGACTGCAATAAATAATGTCATTGATATATATTTATACACTTATGTCGGATATACGAAAATGAAAAAAAAAAAAGAGATATTCTTTTGATATGTCAAATATCTACGTAATATCGTGATGATGATTATGATGATAATAAAATAAGATAAAAAAGAAATATTAAAAAACGAGGTCAATAAAACAACGAACTCGCAAAGAATGAGGTTAACCAAAGTGATCACAATAATATCACATAATATCACGGTATGTTATCCTTGTTCTATATACACTTGAACAGTATATTATGTTCATTAACCTTGATATACATTCTTTTTTAATTTAAAAAAAATAAAAAGAAAAAGAAAAAAAACGAAACGGTGAGAAAATTGTCGCCGCCTTAAAGAAGACAAACAACGAGTATGCATAACTTTTTTTAAATAATTTATACATTAAAAAAAAAAATAATATGATATGAAAAAATTATAAATATCTATATACACGAAATAGCAAAGCATATAAAAAAAAAAATAAATAAACAAACTCAAAGATTAAGTTTATATATTTAAACTTTCAAAGACGTTTACACATTTATCAATGTATCGAATGAATGTAATCTGATTTATTCGTTTTTCAAGATAAGATTGAAAAGGAGGTTATAAAATAATCAATAAATACATTTCTATATTAAATTAAAACACATCTTAATATAAGATGTATAAATAAAAGTAATGACTTATTGTGAGAGCCTTGTGATGTATTATACACATCTAGGAAGTTATCAACCAGTTATTACCTTCACTCACAAATGCTCATAAAAACGTTACTAATATTTATGTTTACGTATATCCATTAGCAGTGACGGAATTTACAGCTGTAGTTACAAGACTGACAAACGTGTACTGTTTGTTGAGGCTAAAAGTAACATTTGTAGTTCTATTTAAGTTAAAAAGAGACATTAGCTAACAGTAGTAAGTGTTAAAAGATCCTTAGATATATTTATACGTTAGATTAATGCGATTTTACGCGCTTATTACGTACTCCTTATAATTTTATATAATTATTCATTATTGCATAATATTTTATTTCTTCTTTTTTTTTCTTTTCTTTTTTTTTTTTTTCGATATTATCAATGAAAAATATGAAGTTTCGTTTTGATATCAAATAATGATTATTGAAATAAATCTTGCAAGATTAATCGCATTATGATTATTATTATTATTATTATTATTATTATTATTATTATAGATTACAATGATTTGTAATAGATCAATTGTTAGAATTGAATTATGGATTGACATTTTTTATTAATTACTATGATCGATCGATTACTACTAAAGATAAATGGTGTATATATAAATTACTTGCGCGAATGTGATAAAGATAACGCAATAGTCTGTTTTACTTCGTATCACAAGGTATGCCTTCATTTTTGTGTTCATGTGAATGTAAGGTACGGTCTGTATCTATGCGATCTCTTTTGAGATAAGACCAAAAAAAACCTTGTTACAAGTATTTCAAACTCGCGCATTGTTTTATATCGAAAGACGTGTGTCTAGTGTTATTGATCAGTGAATTTTTGAGGTTTGTACTGATCTTCACAAGTCGAGATTCTTTTTCATTAAATATTTGATATCCACGATTATATAAAAATTAAACGAATATTCATATTTTCTTTTTCTTTTTTTTTTTTGTTATAATAATATTAAATTTAATTAGAGTAATTTCTTCTAAAAAAAAAAGAAAAGAAAAAAATATGTAAAAGTTGTTGAATTGTTCTATGTATTAAATATTTAAATATGGCGCGCTTGTGGTGGATTTTCAAATTTCATATTATTTCGATAAAATTCGAATTATTCTAGGATATTGAATATCTATAATCGCATAAGAACTAATCAGTAATTATTATTTTTTTTTTTTTGTTATTTTCGTGATAATATTAAATTTGATTAGAATAATTTTTTCGAAAGAAAAAAGAAAGTGTAAAAATTTTCGAATTGTATAATAAATCGAATTGCCTAATATGGCGTGCTTTAGTAACATCTAATACATCATCGTATTTCGTAGCTATGACATTTCCTTTGTCCGATAGCTTTGCTTTTCGATTGCCATTCTGATTTCGCAAGCGTAAAGATCCGTTAGTTATATATATATATATATCCCTTGCTTGGATATAATACTTTGATTTCCGGGCCTTGGTTTTTCTTAACTTTCTCACGGTTCGCGTTTAAAATACATCAATAAGTATGAATATTTATATATTTCTCGTCTTTAGTAATATCCAATGCCATTTATATTCTGTCGTCATTGTTTTTATTAAATTCTTTTCTATCTTTCTCTTACAAGTTAAAACCACCCACTCGTTACATTACACGCTAGAGATCTCGCTTATAGTTAACACAAATCACTGACTTCAACACTCACTTATTTAATCTCATACATACGTACATACATACATACATACATACATACATACATATATATATATAAAAATTATACGTACGTGTATATATTCAACAAATGAAATTAGCTCGGAGAGTGTAGCACAGGATACATGGAAACCTAATCATAGAACACGCCCCTGGCTTCTCATAGCTAAGTGATTGGAAAGCTTTAGAAGAGACGAAGATTTTATGTAGATTTATACATTTTTCTTTTTTTTTTTTCTTTTTTTTTTTCTTTTCTTCTTTTTCTTTTCTTCTTTTTCTTTTTCTTCTTTTTTTCTAATACGAGGAAATATTTTCATTAGAAAATAAAATATCACGACGTAAGATTCTTTTATTTTAATAGATTTCATTCGTCCATTTGCAAATTATCAGACACGATCATTTACCAAAAAAAAACGTTAAGTTTTTAAATTCGTTTTATATTTAATTATCACTTTCTCTTATCTTGTATGTTCTTTTAATAACGTTTAAAATAGTTTCATTTATATTTATCAAGAAAGATTAGGATTCTTTTGCACGCAGGCGCACGCACAAATTCTTCTCCTTTGGCGCGATTATGTTGTATAACCTGTAAAAGCAAAATCGAAAAAAAGAGAGAGAGAGAGAGAGAGAGTGAGTGAGTGAGTGAGAGAGAAAGAGAGAAAACACGTAAGATTGAAAATGAGAAAGAATTTGTAAAGAAGAAAAGAAAAAAAAAAGCACCGTGTAATTCTCTTTCCTCGTGCGATGAAGGGGGAAAAGAAAAAAAAAGAAAAAACAGTATGTGCAAATATGCCGGCGATGAATCTCACTACTATCAAAAGTGATAGTTGTGTATGTGCATGTATATTAGAGAGACCAATGCACACGACTTTAAACAGCGGTGGTTGTGTATAAAAATGAAATGGGGCATTGGGTGAAAGTGCTCTTGGCTTGGAGGTCTTATATCAGATCAGTGTGCCAGGAGCAGCATAGGATGTCTATGGAGATCTTGTCTTCGTCCTAATGACGAGATCCCATTGTGTCTATAACGTTGTGTTTCTTTGAAAAAAAAAAAAATATATATATATATATACACATATATTTGTATATTTTTTTTCTCTACTCTTTTTCCAAATTATGCAACCGGAATCACGTTATAGTATCTTTCACTAAAGTTTATTCGTTCGATTGGATTAAGAGAAAAAAAAGTATTAAAGCATACATAGTCTTTGCAGAAATGGTGCTAACAGTGTGGATATGGTGCTTTCTTGTGTCAGCAAGTCAAGTGGTAATAGCTCTGGAAAATGGATTAGCTAGGACGCCACCCATGGGGTGGTTGGCCTGGGAAAGATTTAGATGTAATACTGACTGCAAAAATGATCCTGACAATTGTATAAGGTAATGTACACTTTTACTTTCTTTTTCTGTCAAACTAGAATAAACTCTATTACATTGAGATATCTATTTATTAGATTTTATTATACATCTTTTTTACTTTTACTTTATTTAACTTTATTTCTGTTATAAATATTGAAAATCAGAAAGATATATGCTTGATAAATAATGTATTATAAACATAAGATAAACAATGATATATTCGATTCATGTTCTTTTATTATTTTTTTATACAGAAGTTTATAATAATAAATAAATTTATTCCAAATTTTTTAGATAAATAAAATGTATATATTTGATATTAATATTATTTGTTTATATATTTTTATATTTTCTACTAATATATATATATATATATATCATGATAAAGTTTATATATTAACTAGTAATATCATATATTTTTTATTGCAGCGACCAACTATTTCGAACAATGGCTGATATTGTTGTAGCAGATGGTTATGCAGCAGTAGGATATGAATATATTAATATAGATGATTGTTGGTTAGAGAAAGATCGAGATTATAATGGTCAATTGGTCCCAGATAGGAAACGTTTCCCATATGGGATGAAAAATTTAGCTGATTATGTAAGTTAATATAATCTTTTTAAAATATTATATTATATATGTTAGAAATTTGTAACGTTGAAGAATTTTATGATAAAAATCTATTAAACTCTTTATAACTGTATATCTACTAACTCTTTATAACTTTTATGCTTTTTCTAAATAAAGTATTACTCCAAGTATTATTATTATTTATTGTATATTTATTTATTTTACATAATTGTGTAGATTCATTCAAAAGGACTTAAATTTGGAATCTATGAAGATTTTGGCAATTACACATGTGCTGGTTATCCTGGAGTAATTGGATATTTAGAAACTGATGCATTGACCTTTGGATCTTGGGATGTAGATTATGTAAAACTTGATGGGTGTTATGCACATCCATCAGAAATGGATAGAGGTATGTTTATATTAAAGCATTATTTATATTATATTAATAATGAATGTTTATTATTCTTATAGAAGGAAGTAATTTATTTTATTAAAATAATTAATATATATATAATTTTTATTATTAGTGTGAATATAAAATGATATAATCATTTTATATTTTAGGATATCCAGAATTTGGATTCTATTTAAATCAAACAGGCAGACCTATGATATATTCATGCAGTTGGCCTGTTTATCAAATTTATGCTGGTATGCAGGTCAGTATTATAAAAATCTAAATTTTCTAATAGATATTCTAATAAAAAAAAAAAAAAAAAAAAAAAAGTCATTAAATTTTTTAATTTTATTTTTATAGAACATTATTTAATCATTTTTACAAGCTTTTCAATTTCTCAAATATTCTCTCTAGTTAAAATTTCTCTCATCTCAATAACAGTGCAGCAAATTTTTTCTGCCTCCGTCTTTTTTTTCTTTTTCTTTTTCTTTTTCTTTTCTTAACAAGCATAAAACCAGCTCTGTCTATACAATGGCATACTATGTTGTTAATTCTCTGTTACGAGTGTGCCCCACTCTAATCCTCTCTCTACCTGTGATCACCGTAATCTTTACTACTACGCGAAGAGACGCTATGGATTGATAAACACGAGATCTGCAGCGAGTGAGAGTGATGGAGTGGGGGAAGAGTATCATACATATTATGGATACTACCTCCATATGGAGAGTATACTTTAGGAAACGGGAGGTGTACACTGACACGCTTATTATTTAGTTGTAAGAAAAGAAAAAAATCACACGCGAATATAACAAGAGTATAATAACTATCATGCTTTTTTTCTCAGTTGACAGTAAAAGTACAAGTGATTAGTAAAATCTTACCACACTTTCATTCATTTAATTATCTAGTCACATTCATAGTTAGTTATATTCGTAACATTATTGAATGTAACTATAGCATGCAATAAATATATTTAATTTTTAGCCAAACTTTACTGCCATAATAGAACATTGCAACCTCTGGAGAAATTTTGATGACATACAAGATTCTTGGAACAGTTTAGAAAGTATTATTGATTACTATGGAAATAATCAGGATTCTATTGTACCAAATGCTGGACCTGGACATTGGAATGATCCTGATATGTTAATTATTGGTAACTTTGGTTTAAGTTATGAACAAAGTAAAACACAAATGGCTCTATGGGCTATTTTAGCTGCACCTTTATTAATGTCTGTTGATCTTCGAACAATCAGACCAGAATACAAAGCTATTTTACAAAACAAAAAAATAATTGCTGTGGATCAAGATCCACTTGGTATACAAGGTCGTCGTATATATAAAGTTAGTAATCTCATCATATATATCGAAATTTTAAATATGAATTAACATATTCGAAAGTATAATTAAACTTCTTTTTTTTTTTTTTTTTTTTTTTTTGTAGCATAAAGGTATCGAAATATGGGCACGACCAATAACGCCCATACATCAATCATATTATTCTTATGCAATTGCGTTCTTGAATAGAAGAACAGATGGTACACCTTCGGATGTTTCAGTCACATTAAAAGAACTTGGCTTACAATATCCTGGAGGATACAAAGTAGAAGTACGTTATTAATATTAAAATTCATTATTTTAATAAGCATAAAGAAAAATATTTATAATTGAAATATTTGTAGGATTTATACGAGGATGTGAACTATGGTGTCTTATTGCCACATACAAAGATAAAAGTTAAAGTAAATCCATCTGGCGTAGTTATTCTACGATGTGATTTACAACTTGATGACATCTATACCTCAAGTCATTATACACCTTATGATCCTTTAAATCAAGTTTTTAAAGTTAGACAAAATCCATATGAATAATGAAATGTTCAATACTAAATTTTTCTTTTTTTATATCTTTTTACTATAAATATTTGATCATGCTATAATATATTTCTGAAAATAAGAAGTAAAAAGTTTTATATAAATTGTAAGTTTATTAAAAATGTTCACAAAAAAAGAAAAAAAATATTAATTTTGCAAAAAAAAAAAAGTTAGATTTTATATTCTATAATATAATATATAATGAATTCTTTTTTACAACATTCTTTAATATATTTATATATTCAATTTTTTTGGTGATAAGCACCACGCATAAGCATTATCAAAAATACGTTGCCAAGGGGACCTTTCATATTTCGTTTCTATGGGTTTCCAAGGCCATTGCCACATTTGTGTGCATCTTTCTGGATGTGGCATCATAGCCAAATGTCGACCGTTCGTTGAACATATAGCAGCTATACCTTCTAATGAAAATGATTCATTCTTTTATAATTTTATGTATAAATAAGTTTATATATATTATTATTTTAAGCACATACACACACACACACACACATATATTATATATATATATTTATCAACCCACCTATGCTACCATTAGGATTGAATGGATATTTTTCAGTGGGATTACCATAATCATCAGTATATTTAATCGCAAGACAGTTTAATTTTTTCAGTGTATGCAATAATTCACTGTTGCGAAATGTAAATCTTCCTTCACCATGTGCAATCCATACACCAAATATACTACCCTCCATTCCTTGCAGCATGATGGACGGTGATTTTTCAATTCTAACATTACTCCATCGACATTCAAATCTTTCTGATATATTATGATCTAAGAAAATCTCTGGTTCTTCTTTATATCCTATAATCAATAAGATAATACATAATGTCTCTGCATGTCAAGATTTTATATTTTTTTTATATAACATATAAATTTACCATTATCTTTTCCAATCCATCCTAACAAACTCATTAATTGACAGCCATTACATACTCCTAAACTGAACGTGTCTTTGGAATTAACAAATATTTCTAATTGTTTTTTTAATAGTGGATGAAATTTCAAACATGCCGCCCATCCTTTTGCAGAGCCTAAAACATCTGTGAATAATTTTCATTATGAAAGAAATATTTATAAATATTCTTATTAATTATTTATTTAAATGCATGACATTTTACCTGCATAACTAAATCCACCAGGAAAAATAACACCTTTGAATCTATCAAGTGTAATATCATTGCTTAATAAATCTTGCATTGTTACATCCCAAACTTCAAAACCTGCTTGTTCCAAAGACACGGCCATTTCTCTATCACCATTTATACCTTCCTCACGAATCACAGCGACTTTTATATTAGCTGTAATACAATTTTATATATCATTATATACATAGTAATATTATTATTGTAAAAAATTCATATACTTATTTAACATCACGCTTACAGATTAATAATTTTTCAATTGAATAAGGTTTATGATCAGGATTAAATGTTAACTTATAATCAGGAATAGTTCTTTCTTTTAGTCCATTAAATTCTTCTAGAGCACAACTAATATTAGTTTGTCTACGCTCTAATTGATAACTTGTTTCTTCCCATGTATACATTAATGGTTCTATAATAGTATCCAATACAACCTTTGCATTTACTTTAAAAGACACCTAAAATAGAAAGAATCATTTAATTTCATGCATAATAAATATTTGCAAGAATGAACATAAAAATTACCTTTGATTGAAATCCCAAACCAACAGACTTCCCTATCAAATATACTGGAATATTGAACTGATTAAATACATTGTTTAAATATTCATAATTATTTTCTTCTATTTCTAGAATCCATCCAACTTCCTCAGAGAATAAAATATCTATAGGAGATCCAGATTTATGAGAAATATTAATATCCAATCCAGACATTCCAGCAAAAGCCATTTCTAATATACAAGTGATCAATCCTCCATCACTTACATCATGACCTGCCAATACTTTTCCCTCTGTACAATATAATATTATTAAAATAGAAAAAGATTTATTTTTAAATAGAACTTATGTACCTATATATATATATATATTCAAAAGACATTACCTTTTATCAATTTTTGTGTAGCATTAAATGCATTTTTAATAAGAATTGCATTTTCCACATCTGGAGTATCATTACCAAGTTGTTTGTAAACTTGTGCTAAGGCTGTTCCACCAATACGACTTTTACCATTTGATAAATCAACATAAAGTAGATAACCTTCTTTTCCAGCTGAAGGTGCTTTTAAATCAGGTGTTATTACCTATTAAAATTAAACCATTAAAATATCTGTACAAAATGTAATAAAAAAGGTATTGACTCACTTGTCTTATATCAGGACACGGTGCATAACAAGAGATAACAAGTGTTCCTGGTGCCTTAACAACACTATTTTCTACACGTGCAGCCATACTAAGAGAATCTTTACCGCCATCAGCAGCTATACCAAACTCTTTCATAATAGAACACAAAGCAGTACATGCTTCATACATTGCTGCACCTTCTCCTGGTAATTTTGCAGCCCACATCCAATTTCCACTACATTTAACATCCTAAAAATAAGATTATTATAAATTTAGTAAAATTATATATTTGATATTGTGTTTATGAATAATATAAATTTAATAAATATTAAAAACCTGAATATCTGAAATTGCAGCAAATACTAAATTACTCAAAGCTTCTGCTACTGTCATACGTGCTCCGGCAGATGCATTCACAAGGCCTTTTATTGGTTGTTCGCCAATCGATGTTGCAATTCCATGCTGAAATAATATGTAAGAAAATTTTTATAATAACATTTCCTAAAAATAGAAATAATTAATTAAAATGTATTCTCTTACTGTTGAATATATTGAAACAGCTGTTACAGCAACATCAGCCAAAGGAGTATGTAATGGGCCAACACATTGTTGTTGTGCAATTAATCCTGTGACACAACGATCAACTTTATTAACTAAATAACGTTTACTAGCAACTGTAGGCAAACGTAGAACTCTATCAAGAATTGAATCCACTGTCAAATCATTGGGCAAACAGATGGGTGATAAATGCAGCTGTTTTCTTGTAAGATTATATGTCTATAAATAATAAATATTTAATTGTTAAAATTTCTTTATATATTTATAGATATATTAAATTATTAAAATAGTACAAAACAAATTTACCTTTTGTGGCATCTTACCAAGTACTAATTCAAGTTCTAAATCAACTGGATGCCTTATATTATTTTGTTCATATTTTGATAAATCAAAGTCATCCTCTTCAGAAAGAATAATTTTTCCATTTCCAATTACCTTTCCAATAAAATTGATAGGACATTTTTCACGTCTCGCTATTTGCTTGAGCAAATCGGCATCCTTTGGTTTACAAAGTATAGCATTATTTTCTTGGTATTCAGCACCCCATAATTCTAATGTACTGATACTAGGATCACCCAATTCAAATTTCTTTGTAAATATTACAGCTCCGGCAGGTTCAACTAATTCCTTTAATACATTTCCTAAATATGAATACAATATATTGAATATAGTATATTACTATAATAATATGAAGTTGACATTATTTAATGAATAGATTGAATTTATTAACATTATTTACCATTTCCTCCTGCACCTTGATCGTGAATACTAAGAATTGGATTATTTGAACCTAATTCCCCACATGCACGAATTACTCGATTTAATTTTTGTTCCATTTCAGGATCACCTCTTTGCACTGCACCAAAGTCTAAATCTGATTCATTATCACCTTGTACCTATAAATTATTGAACATACAATAATACAAAAGACACCATTATATAAAAATAATTTTTTCCAAAAAAAAAAAAGAACATACTTCAACTGAACTTGCTGCACCACCACCAACACCAATTCTATAAACAGGTCCTCCAATTTTTACAACTTCCATATCTATAAAAAAAATATTTTCAATATAACTTATATAATACATTGTATTTTTATATTGATTGCTTACCTTTTTCTGGTAATTCTTTTTTTGTCATATTTGCATCCACTGTACCTACACCTCCGGTAAACATTATAGGTTTTATCCATTCTCTTCTAACATTTTCATGATCTAGCAAGCCAAAAGAACGTGCAAAACCAGATATAATTGGTTCTCCAAATTTATTTCCATAATCAGATGCTCCATTACTTGCTTCAATTATAATTTGTAATGGTGATGCCATATTACTAGGGTATACCCATTCTTTGTTTTCCCAAGGTAAACTATAATCTTTATAGACAAAAATATATCAGATGTAATTATGATATATATATTTATTTATTTATTAAGTAAATAGGAAACCTGGAATAAGAAGATTTCCAACACTGTATCCTGCAGTTCCTGCGATATAATAGCCTCCTTTACCAATGGCTTGTATATCTCTTATACGTCCTCCTGTTCCTGTTGTAGCACCACTAAAAATTTTATTTGTTAATTGTAAAAAGTATTAAGCAATGTAATATCTAGAAACACAATAAATAGAAGAACTTAAATATTACCTGAATGGAGCAACACCAGTTGGAAAATTATGTGTTTCTGCTGTAAATATTAAATCTTGCTTAATTTTTTCTACATTAAAATGACTACATTTTGATGGATCAACTGGTCTCAACAAGTTTATTTCATAGCCTTCGATAGCACTGCTGTTATCACTGAATTTAATGACATTGTTTGGATTTGAATAATTTTGTGTATCTATGATCATATCAAGTAAAGATTGTTTTTTTTCTTTTCCATCAATAATCATCTTTCCTTTAAAAAACCAATGTCGGCTATGCTCGCTGTTTGATTGTGCCAAATCAAAACATTCGACACTGGTTGGATTACGTTTAAGTTTATGTAAAAACAAATTTGTGTAATAATCCAAATCCCAATTATCAAAGGCAAGACCTGTTATGAGAAAATTACATTCTATAATTTTTTAATTATAATTCATTATATAATTAAAATAATTAATGACGTATACCTAATTTATTGCTTACATCCTCTAAAGCATTTCTTCCATATTTTAATATATCTACTTCAAACCATTTTTCAGGTTTAAATCCATGGTCAAAAGTCTCTATAGGTTTTACATATCTACATTCTGTCATCTTGTCGTGTAAAACATCTACAATCTATAATAATGAAAATTCATTATAGTATTACTCATAAAACTAAAATTAATAAAAATAATTAATATATTTACATACTTTAGATTCTGTAGTTTGATCTAATGTACCATTATGTATGATATGATATCTGATAGATATTTCTACTCTTGTTACTTTATCTAATTCTATTGATTTGCATATGGATATTACATTACTCGAAAATGCAGTAGAAAAATTCAATCTGTAACGAGACATTATTATTATTTTATATCATAAAATTATTATATTTTATATAATAAAAATAAAAAATAATTACCTTGGACCAATTTCAATGACAGTAATTATATCATTATTTTGATCAAATACGCTAACGTTTTTTAATGTGTCCGTTTCTATAGGCGAAACCAATAACCATTGTAACAATTGTATTTCTCTTTCATTTAATTCTTCTTTAATTTCAATATAATAACACAATTCAGTTTTAAGATCACTCACTATACTTGATACCTTACGTATATCATTTAATTTCTTTTTCAGCTGTGCTGATTTTAATCCAGGTAGTTTATAAAACTTTAATATTGCCATTATATATAAAATTAAATACTAATCAAATCAGAACACTAAATATTATTCCTCTACCGCGTGGAAAGGATTTACCAGTTATCGACGTTGTTCTATTAATTTATTGTAAACCAAATACATTGATTAGATATCCCAGTAAGTTGTATAAATAAAAAAAATTCATTTGCATTACGATATCGTTAATTATTCATTGAAGATTCTTGCAAAATATTTTTTACTTTTTTTTCGTAATCTTTCTATCAAAGTAACTATTGCGAGGTCATCAAGGCCATTGATATCACGCATTACAATATTATTTCATAGATTAACGTCATATTTATTTTATATTGTATTTATCAATATTATTATTGCATTGTTTATTTAATGATGAAATACAATTATTTTCCAATAAATGAAAAATTGAAATTTGAATCTACTTGATAAAAGCCATGCGCAGTTTGTCATTTTTTTTAATTTAATACAGCATGGTAGAATTTCTAACAGCGATGCATGATTAAATGTATTTTAAAGATTTTTTGGAAAATAATTAAAAATATGTGACGTGTAAAGTAATTATTCATTAAGGATCATATTACTTATAGATATAATAATTTATATTTTCTTATTTTATGAAATCAATATTTTATTTTGCAGGTTCCATTGAATATTTTCTCAATCAAAATCGATATAATAGGTTATTACTGCAATCAAATATCGCGCCACTTATTTCGAAGATGTTGATTGGTTTAGAAATACAATATCCTGATTGGTTGGGAAAGAAAACATTCCGATTGGTTGAGAAACTAAATGCATCATCAAGATGGCAGCTTTCTGTATACCTTAAATTTCGTTGAAGAAATACTCTCTTTTACATTTTTATTCTATGAGGTTATAATGTTTATGGGCGTATCTTGATTCCTGTCGTTATTTATGGTTAAACTATACAAACGAAGAGAGATGTTCTGTGGTAAAAGTCCCGTCATGATATAATATAATATCATGGTCTCTAACATCAACAAACAACAGAAACGTTTATTACGTTTAAAGTAGTCATTTGTGAATTCTGTACTGTTTCCTCGAATATATGGATGCGGGGAACGGACAGAAGCCCTCCAGTAAGTATAGCTGTTAAATTGTGGTATGGTAATTGTTGTTCACGTGATTATGATTTCGAGAACACTTCCCTATGTGTTAAAATTTCTATTTCTATTTTATTATTCATACGGATTTTACATAAAAATTTCATTGGAAAAGTAATATAAAAAAGTGCTCTTAATATAAGACAAAAAACATAAATTAAACGAATTTCTATTACGTATCAATTACGATTAATTATTTTTTCATATGTATTGTATGCCAAATGAATAAACCAATGGAATTAATGATAATGTAAAATCTTCATTAATAAAACAAAAATATTTATATATCATGAATACCTTTTACATAATCATTAATTCACAGATGGGCAACCTTATGTTAGTACCAACAATGCAGGAACGGAAAAGGGAAAAGAATGGCAAATGGAGTTGATGATGGAGAAGTTACGATCAAAGGCTTCAGGATTTAAGTCTTTGGTCGAAACTGCCAAAAATTTACGTATGACTATGTTGGTATGTTAAAAAAAAAAAAAAAAAAGAAAAAAAGAAAAACAAAACAAAAAAAAAACAAAACATTTTTTTTCTAAAGGTAATTTATTTGTATTGTAATTACAGGACAAACGATTTGCCATTGACAGCGTAGAAAAAAATCAGCTGCAAAAATGCTTAGATACTCTGCAACATTCTATAAAAGTGACATCTTTACAATCTATGGTAGAACGTTTAGAAAGTTTAACAAGGCAATTAGGGTATTTATTTTTATCTATTTATAGTAATCTGATATATATATATATACATATATGTATATATATATATATGTTTACACTCTGATAGTTTGTTATACAATTAATATTTTATTGTAGATTAAAATTTATGATGTCAGGACCACCAGGCACGGAGCTTTTTATATCATCCGATATGTTTTTTTTAGAAGTTCTTTTGGAAACAACGGGTGTAGTTAAAGATGTCAAAATTCATCATGAAGGAAAGAATGAACAGCAGGTAAAGGAAGAAAAATTTCACTATTTCGTATAATATTTAAAGGTTATAATATGTGAAGAATATTATAACCTATAAAAAAAAAATTAATTATTTCAGAGTTGCGAAGTACTGGCCTCTTGTCTATCCCGGGGTGATTTTGTGGATTTTACGACACAGTTGGAAGGCTTAGCTTCTATATATCAATTAAATGCAGATAAAAAAGTGAAATGTAAAGCATTCAGTGCTTTACAATCTTTAGAGGCTGATTTAGGAGTTCTGGCACAACTTCAGACATTTATGAAGGAACCTTTTAATCTTGTTCACAAAAGTCCAGTTGGTTAGTACACATTTTATTACTTTATATAAAGAAATATTATTTGATTTAATAAAAGTTCCTTCGTTAAAACCATCTTATCATATTTTAGGAATTCTTGAAAGACGGAAAGGAGGTCATCCTATGAAATTAACATATTTTGTATCACCTTATGATTTAATAGATCAAGAAAATCGTACTTGTGATGTTTTAAATCCAGAAACTGTTATTAAACGAAAAATTGGTCATTCTGTTACTGTTTGTATGGAAGGTTCAACTGCTCACAAGCTGCCTACAACTAGTATCATAACTGTAAATAGAAGTAACACAGGAAAGAGGTGAATAAAATTTGTTAACCATCTATATCTATGTAAAAGTAATATAATTTACATAGAAATCAATGTTTAATATTTATAATAATGTTTTAGCACTCCATCGTATGCTCCTTTAACTGGCACAAATTCATCAATGTTACCTGCCTGTTTTGTATTAAAACTCACTAAAAAAATGCCAATGTGTATGGAATTAGTACGACGGATACAAAAAGTAACTGAATTAGAGTGCGCAGATGTATCATCACCTCACTCCTTGTTAAGTTTAATAGTACAACATGCTAGTGATGGATCTTTAGATGGTCGAAATAACAGAGGACTTTATGTTGTATGTACAAAAAGAAAAAAATTATAATATTTTAAAAGAGAAATTTAAGAGGATTTATAAATAATAATTATGCATGATTTATTTTACAGACCTTGCCAGATCAACATCATTGTTATTTCATGACAGAAAATAAGAATATGGAAGGAGTTTTAATAGGCAGTATTCCTTTCACACATCCAGCACACGTTCCACAAATTCTTGTATATCTACGGCAACAAGCTCTCTTCAATTCTTTAATTTCAAGTTGCGTAAGACCTATGGCTCGTATAGATCCAGAACATACAATTATATTTGAGGTAAGCGCTTTATCATGGCAACACATATCCATAAGCCTGGAACATCCATTCGAAGAAACAATGGCAACAGCAGAATTAAATCTAACGGACATATCTGCATTGAAATGCAAACTTTACGGTGTAAGCATGATGAATGCAGAACAAATTTCAGACTTAACTGGTAAAGTCTTACAAAGATGTCTCAGTATACCATTAACAATGAGAACGTTGATGAAGACTTGGGAAGGTCGAAGCGCATTACCAGTGAATACTATGAGCGGTGGAAATGGAAATTACAACACAAATATAGGGCCTGGAAAAGATCAGAATGGTCAGGCTGGTTCTAATATGCCTGACTTCGCTAATGCAGACACAAAAATCAGGCAAGAATCTGACTTAAGTAATGGAAATGGAACTATTGGACGACAGCAAACTTTACAACAACCACAACAGCAGTCTTTTTTAGATGCCGGAACGGAGAATAGTATCGGGTTTCCGTCATATTCCGGCCAATCCGATACAGCAACCGCTGCTATGCTAAATCCTCTACAACTGAGTGCATTACTGGGTCAAGCGAAAAATTCTTTAGCAAATCCTTCAAGTGAAAAGACGAAAAAGACACGCAAAAGGAAAATCGCAGAAGGATTTTGGCGCAGTCCTAAAAGGAAAGGTGAAGATACTAATGAAATATTATTAGAAAGTTCAAGCTCGGACTCGACACCACTTGGAACACCAACCAGTGGAAGGGAGAATACAAATGAAACTAGAACGTCTACTCCAACTTCTGCTGCTAGTTTAGCCAGTGGTATAGACTTTACTAATCTCGATCCCGGCGATGTGTTAAGTACGGATAAAAGTTCGGATTATGATCTAGACAATGAAAGTGAAATTGTAGAGGTACACGAAGTTCAGGGTGTGGATGATCTTATTAAAAGAGATCGTAAATCAAAGAAACGTGAAGAAAAAAAGAGTCCGAATATATTTGAAGAGAATAAAAATCTTGTACCCCCATCAGTAAGTATAACACCAATTTCAAATAGTAACGTGAGTCAAACAACAAATTATAATTCTGTACTTACGAGTATGGGTTTGGAAAGGAGACCTGGAATTGAGATTATACCCATAGCATCATCACCGCAAGCCAGTTTACCAAGTTCTATAACTATAACTCCAATAGCAGGACCAACCACAGCAAAGACTATGACGGAAGAGCGTAGAGAAAGAAAAAGTTCCAAAAGTAAATCAACAGAGGATAAGGGAAAATTAGAGAAAAGACGTAAACGTAAAAGAGAAGATAATCCAATGGGACCACCACCAGACAAATTACCTTCCAAGCAAGATCCTTTATCCAAACCTGTTTCGGTGAGCATCAAACCCACCGAATCCCCTCCAAGTGTAGGTTCTCGTCCATCATCTCCATCAGCTACTATAAGAAAATTCAGTCCGTCCCCGACACACAGTAGCCCGCTTGTCCTCGTTGGTAAGTCCAGTCCCACATTAAAGCAATCAACGAGCAAACCCGTACAAAGTCCGAAACATTCACCTGTCTATAGTAGTAGTCCTAAACACATGTCTGTACCTGCAAGCGTAAGTCCAAAGCATGGAACGTCGTCACCGAAACATGGTAGCTCAACGAGTACAGGAAAGCCAAGTATGTCTGCCCTCAAGTCAGCAACAAATTCCCCTTCCAGCAAAACTAGCGATTCAATATCATCGAAAATTAAGTCTTCCTCATCGTCCTCCAGTAAAGATTCTAGTCGTGAAAAAGAAAGGAAAACGTCATTAAGTTTTGGAAGTACAAGTGGTCATCAAAGTCCAAAGACTAAATCTTCTGGTACTAAGGTAAAACAATTGGATTTAATACCTGGTACTGAGATTCAATCGACTGTATCTAACAGTGGTGGTAACACACCACCTTCCGGTAGCTCCGATATTTCAAAGTCGACTATAGCTCAACAACAGGCAAGAAATAGAAAGGGTTCTCTTAGCGCGGTTATAGATAAATTAAAAAATGCTCAACATTGTACGGATGAAGGTGGAAATGGCGGACAGAAAACGAGCAGCGGAGGTAGCTGTAGTACGAGTAGTCAAAAAGAAAGGAACGTCAGTAGTTCGTCGAACAAGAATGTAGAGGGAAAGTGCGTTATCAAGAATTCTTCCATCGACGCGAAGAATCCCGCAGAATATATGGTTAAACATAGTTCGGATGGCATGAAGATAACGATCAACAAAACTCGTACGAAGGATTCAAAGTCAGGAACGAGTATAAAGCTTTCATCGACCGCCGTTACATCGGTGACTGGTGTACCTTCGACAACAGTATCATCTGGTTCTGTGGTAGGAAATGGATCATCCAAAGCTCACACAGGTTTGAAACCTGGTGTGAATTCTGGGCCTGCATCAAAGAAGCCACAATCTCATGCATCACCCAAGTTACCTGGTTCGTCTAGTTGTAGTAGCACTAGTGGAAATAGAACTGGCTTGTTAGGTCAGAAGGTATTGCCAACGTTGAAATCAATGTCCGGAGGAAATACTAGCAGTGGTAATGGCGGAGGAGTCGTAGGAGGTGTCAGTGGTAGCGGCAGTGGATTATTGGGTAAAGGTTCCTCTACATCGAAATCTTTAGGCTCACCGAAAACAACCAGCTCTAGTGTTACCGATCTCAGTCGTAATCGCGATAAATTGAGGATGGCTAAATCAACGGAGAAAAATATTTTTGGATCTAAAAGTATGACAGATTCGAGGAAGTCTAGTCCTTCCGCTCTTCGCGAGGAAAGCGAAAGCGAAAGAGCTTTTAAGCTACTCGCAGCTCATGCTTCTATTTCCAGTTTGCCTAGTTTACCAAGTTTACCGCCTCAGCTTGTCGTCGATGGTTTAATGAAGCAACTTGATACCAAGTTTCAAATACCAAAGTTGTCAGCTCGCGTAAACGTCGATAACAGCGAGAAGAAATTATCAGAATCTGGAAAGTCGTTGGATAATCTCGCCGTAAAGCAAATGGCAGATCAAGGAAAGCTTCAAACGATCTCCAATCCCGTATCTTCGATCGCGAAAAGTAATACGGATGATCAGACACAGAGTACACAAAACAGACGAGATCATGTACAAACGAAGCCCGACAATCTTTCCATGCCGACTTCAACGACAATGCCGATAAACGTGGGATCCGATAGTACAAGTGGCCTTCTGCTACAACCTCCAGCTGCGGTCAGTTCCCATGATTCTAATGTTCCGACCAACCTTTCGATGCAATCCGTTGATGATTCTCGAGACTCATGTCAGGAAACATCGGTAGGTAGACCTGCCGCGCAATTTTTAAGTAACACGTTGAGCGGTTCTGGCACTAGTAAGGATGATACTAATAACAGCAATGCCGTCATGGCCCTTCTTCCTAAAGGTTCGGAATCCCTGTGTATATCAAAATCGATGTATCCGCCATTGGCAAGCGGATCTTCCAATGCTACTGGAAACGGTGCAAATGGTGCCAGTTGCGCTAACAGCAACACCGAGAGCCTGAATCTGAGTACGAAACCGGCCGAGACTGTGCTAGGTAAATATAACAAATCTGTCGAGGAGAAGAAACAGCAACAGCAGCAGCAGCAGCAACAACAACAACAACAACAACAGCAACAACAACAACAACAGCAGCAGCAGCAGCAGCAACAACAACAACAACCACAGCAACAGCAGCAGCAACAGCAACAACCACAACAACAGCAACAACAACAGCAACAACAACAACAGCAGCAACAACAGCAACAGTTATCACCGTCGGTCGTTTCTACTTCAACAACGATCGGCGGTATTGTCAATAGCGATGTAGGCTCGACTATGGTTCCAGTGAGGAACACAACAGAATTGGTTACTTCTAATTCACAAGAGGCTGCCGAAATGTTATTAGATTTTTCCAGTTCAAAAGAAACGAGCAAGAATTTAAGCCTTACGTCTATATCAGAACGAGCTATGACTCAAGCAGCTCCAATAAGAAGGGATACTCCGCCACCACCTCCACCAACATTTCCACCAAGCCCATCTTTGAGCGTACACATTGTCAAAAGTCCTGCGCCATCGCCCAGAATTATACCACCGTCCCCACACTCCGCTTCGCCCTGCATTACGGACGATGAGCTTATGGATGAAGCTCTCGTTGGCATGGGCAAATGAAGATTACTTAAAATCTAGATACTTAATTATCTTTTACATCGTTAGACGTGGGATCATCTTCTCAGATTGGAACATCATCGCGTTCTTCATCTAACAAATATTGTCGACAGTTTCTCATGACATTTATATTGTTAGATTACACGCAGACAGAGAGACGAAGAGAGAGAGAAAGAAAGAGAAAAAGAGGGAGAAAGAGAGAAAGAGAGAGAAAGAGAAAGAGAGTTACACGAGCTGGTTGTTAAGTGCAAAGACTATAAACTTATAAAGATATTAGTGGAATCTAGTGGAATATATAAAAATAAAATAAAAAAAAGAAAGAGAAATAATATACGATAATAGGGAATAATTGTAAATGGTAATTGTTAAATGGCAACTCGATATGAGTTTATGCCAATGGATATAATTTCGTTGGATTGTGGGGGCCGGGGTATCTTGGGAATAGAAGGCAAGACTTTAAAAGGAAAATTTGGAAAAAAATTTACTTTTTTCCTTATATATGTAAAAAAAAAAAATATGCAGTTTCATACTACTACGCGAGGATCAAAGATGTAATATAAAAATGAATGTATTCTTTTAATTTCGCTGATTCACGTGACGGAGAAATATATTTTCTTCTATAGAAGAATTTCAATCGTGTTCAATTCGCTATAAGTGTTCATAAGTATATTCTTATCGTTGAACAAAAGTGTAAGGTAAAAATAATTCTTTGCTCTGAAATTTCTTAACAATTACATTTTATATTTTTTCTTTTCTTTTCCTTCTTTTTTATTTTTTTTTTATTTTTTTTTATTTTTTTTTATTTTTTTTTTTTAATTTGCAATTAAAGATCTTAAGACTCTGCAAAAGTTTGCTACAACCAATTTATAAAGTCTTCTTCTAAATGTTAGAAAATTATCCTGTCAAGCTTTAAGTACAATTATGTTATATTAATTATAAAAATCTATTTTAATGTTATGATTTTCGGAACTAATATATATATATACATATATATGTATGTATGTATGTATATATGTATATATATATATTTGAAAGAATTTCAAAACTGTATTATATTAAAAGCAGTTGTAAGTTCGATGATAGATAACAATGATATACTTATTTAAATAAATCTTTAACGTTTATTGTAAAGAATTGATATTTACCTTCAATTCTCTATTATGGATAATAATGGCAGATCAATTAAGGATATCTTCCAAAGTGGCGAAACAAAAAATCATAAATTTTTTAAAACTATAACACAATACATGTTATATATTTGTGCCATAAATGTTGAATTCATTGAAATATTGAATATTTGCTTTGAACTTGTATAAAATCCATTACAAATGCCTATTATTATTGTTCATTGTGATTCTCATCCATAGTCTGCTGTTGTTGTTCTTAGCTAGACAAATTTAACATAAATAATTCTAATGTAAACAGAGAAAATATTTTAATTTCAAAGTAATTCAATAAAAAAGCGTTATCGTGACATTTTTAAATAAATCATATTGTTTCCTTTATTTAGATAATCCTTTTTATGTTATATTAAGAAGGATGATACATTAATGTAATAACTTTTTTATACACGAGACAAATATTTAAAAAGTATAATAATGTGATCTAAAAATTAAAATTATACTACATTTAATTTATTTTTTAATTTTAAATATATTAAACAGAAGTCGATAGTTTTAATTTATTTTTGAATTTGTAAAGATTTCCCGCGAAACAATTTGATTTGGTAAAATTATGATAGTTTCTTATGTTTGTCACCAGATAGCGTTTCTTGCTTTCGTTCATAGTTCATATTTATACAGCCTTAAGGGTGTTCATCACCTTTCTCTTGAAACGTGTGTGACTTCAGCGACGAGTATGGACAAAATATGAATTACAAACGCAAGCGGGTAACTCTGTTCCCATCATGCATCTTCCGTATCAGCGTATAAACTAGAAATAAAATAGAAATAACACTAGACGTAAAGTGTGATAGAAAAATTTCCTTATCGTTTCTGTAAAAAATTATTGTACAATATATTTCTCTTATATTTCTTCTTTTGAAGTATTATTAGCTATATAAAATGAAAATATGTTAATGTTTAGTTGGAATTAGTTTGAAAAGATATTGGAAAAGTGATACAATATGCAGCCATTCGCTCGGTAATACTTGCAGTTAAAAGTTTACAATTAAACTTTGCAAGTATTAACGACCCAGGTCACACCACGTGGAGGTTGCTGCAAGTGGAGACCCACGAGCTAACGGTGACTCTACTTTACTCTAAAATCCGCGTTCCGCGATACCGATCCCTTATGCCTTCCGCTTCGGATATCTTGGGCATGGTACAAAGCTAACAGGAAGTATCTAGCCTTAGCTACAGGGACTCCACTTACAGAAAGCTTAACCGTTCAACACCCTCCGCCTCAGGCATAACGAATTATTAAGCACATCTAAATTCGTGCATCCGAATTTCGAACAATCAAAGCGTATTAATCGCGTTCGCGACACTCACGTGTGTTATAATTACGTAGATTCTACTGTTCTATCCAAATTCGCGAAGTAATCTAATCGATATGTCGAAGAAATCAAACGAAGTCCTCGGTAGGACTTCCAATCGCGTATGCGAACTCTTACGTGAGTGTTAGAATAACGGTGACTCTAAGTTGAAATCCGAAGCGCACTCCAAATTTCAACACTAAAACGAAGTCCATGATAGGACTTTTAATCGCGCGCGGACACCCACGCAAGTGTTCGGAAAACGGTGACTCTACTCTAAATAAACTAATCGAATATTCGAGCAAACAAAACGAAGTCCCCGGTAGGACTTTTATTCGCGCACGCGAACACTCACGCGAGTGTTAGAATAACGGTGACTCTAAGTTGAAATCCAAAGTGACATATGTTAACCGGTATTTAGACTTTCCATGATATTTGTCGAGATTTCCGCCCCGCTACCAAATATGAGGATTGTCATAATATCAGCCAACTATGTACAGCACTACAAGGTAAACCGTTCGCGCACCCCGAATTTCAACACTAAAACGAAGTCCATGATAGGACTTTTAATCGCGCCCGGACACCCACGCAAGTGTTCGGAAAACGGTGACTCTATTCTAAAAAAACGCGTTCGCGAGGTAATCTAATCGAATATTCGAGCAAATATAAACGAAGTCCCCGGTAGGACTTTTAAGCCGTGCCCGCGTTCATTCACGTGAGTGTTAGAAAAACGGTGACTCTACTCTAAATTCGCGTTTTCGATTCGAACAATCAAACGAAGTTTAATCGCGCCCGTGAACATCCACGCCTGTGCTAGCCGACACACGTGCGAGTGTTCTCCTATCCTGCCCGTATTCGCGTGGAAAAATCGATGATGAATACAGCCATGCTACGACGATACATCCGGCCGCAGGTGAATCTATGCCTTGATGATCTATCCTGAAAAAAAAGAAGATAAGGAAAAAATAAGAAAAAGGAAAGAAAAGACATATTGAATATCGATGCATCATTGCTCGATTACCCCTGAAAAAGAAAAAAAGAAGATGAATAAAAGAAAGATAAGAAAATAGAAGTATCTCTGCACGCTGCTAAAACAATAGTCCGCTTCATCTCATGGGTCCTACCTAATGCTTAAAAATAAAAATTAATTAGAATATATTAATAACAAACCTAAAAACATAAAAACATAATTAAAAAGAAATAACAAAAAGATATTAAAGAAACATAATTAAAAAGAAATAACATAATAAAAATCTGAAAAGACTTAATGAAAAGAAATAACATATTAATAACACAATTAAAAACATAATTAAAACATAATTAAAGAAGAAAAATATGAGTAATAAAAGAGAGCTGCTGAAAGATAAGAAAATAGAAGTAGCTCTGCATGCTGCTGAAACAATAGCCCGCTTCATCTCGTGGGTCCTACCTAATGCTTAAAAATTAAAATTAATAAGAATATATTTATAACAAACCTAAAAACATAAAAACATAATTAAAGGGAAATAACATAATTAAATTCTGAAAAGATATAATAAAAAGAAATAACATAATAACATAATTAAAAACATAATTAAAAACATAATTAAAGAACAAAAATATGTATAATAAAAGAGGGCTGCTGAAAGATAAGAAAATAGAAGTAGCTCTGCATGCTGCTGAAACAATAGTCCGCTTCATCTAATGGTTCCTACCTAAAACCTGTAAATCATAATTAATAAGAATATATTAAAAACATAATTAAAACCATAAAAACATAATTAAAAAGAAATAACAAATAAATATTAAAGAAACATAATTAAAAAGAAATAACATAATAAAAATCTGAAAAGACATAATGAAAAGAAATAACATATTAATAACATAATTAAAAATATAATTAAATAAGAAAAATATGAGATACAAAAGAAAACTGCAGAAATACAAGAAAGTAGAAGCAGCTATATACGATGCTGAGATAGCAACCCGCACAGAGGCCCACACCCATGTCCCCATCCCATGGGTCCCACCCGAGACTTATAAATCATAATTAATGAGAGTAATTCAGTATGAAAATTATGAAATAGAAAAAAGAGAAGAAAAGAGAAGCAGCTCTATAAGATGCTGAGACAGTAACCCGCACAGAGGCCCACACCCATGGGCCCCTCCCATGGGTCCCACCCGAGATTTATAAAGAATTATTAATGAGAGTAATTCAGTATGAAAATTATGAAATAGAAAAGAGAGCCCCAAAAAGAGAAGAAAAGAGAAGCAGCTCTATAAGATGCTGTGACAGTAACCCGCACAGAGGCCCACACCCATGGGCCCCTCCCATGGGTCCCACCCGAGACTTATAAATCATAATTAATGAGAGTAATTCAGTATGAAAATTATGAAATAGAAAAGAGAGCCCCAAAAAGAGAAGAAAAGAGAAGCAGCTCTATAAGATGCTGTGACAGTAACCCGCACAGAGGCCCACACCCATGGGCCCCTCCCATGGGTCCCACCCGAGATTTATAAAGAATTATTAATGATAGTAAATAAGAAAAAAAAGAAATGACACCGGACATTAAAGTGTGATAGAGAAATTTTCTTTTCGTTTCTCTGAGAAATTATTTTACAACAGAATTCTGCCATATTTCTTCTTTTGAAGTATTATTAGTGATATAAAGTGGAAAAATATTCATGTTCAATTGGAATTAGATTAAAAAGATCTTGGAAAAATAATACAATATGCAGCCATTCGCTCAGTAGTACTTGCATTAAAGAATTTATAATTAGAATATGCAAGTAATACCGACCCAGGTCTCACTACGTGGAAGTTGCTGCATGTGGAGACCCACGGACTGACGGTGACTCTACTCTAAAATCCGCGTTCCACGATACCGATCCGCGATATCTTTCCGCTTCAATGCACTGGCTTCTTAACTAACAGGGTATGCGTAGCTTTAGCTACAACACACCTCTTACAGATAGCTCCACCATTTGCACCGTCTGCTTGAGACATAACGGATTATTAAGCACATCTGAATTCGTGCTTTCCGAATTTCGAGCAATCAAAGCGCACTCCTTAGAAATACTAATCGCGTCGCGACACTCACGTGTGTGTTATAATTACGTAGATTCTACTGTTAAGCCGAAATTCGCGAAGTACCCCCATCGACGATTGAAGA